TTCACAGACAGCCGGATGTCGCGACGGCGCCACAGATGTCTCAAGTTAGCAAAGGCCAACCGAGCCTTCTGTGGCTGACACTTCATCCGTGATGCGTCCACCGGGTGAGATGTAGCTGCCCAAATAACAAAACTCCACTTCATCCGTGATGCGTCCACCGGGTGAGATGTAGCTGCCCAAATAACAAAACTTATCTACCTGCTCTATTACTTCTATCCGTGATGCGTCCACCGGGTGAGATGTAGCTGCCCAAATAACAAAACTTATCCACCTGGTCTATTACTCCCCCAGTTAGAGTGAGGCTGGGTGCTGGACCAACCCAGTCTTATAGTAACATTGGCCCCTGCATCGGACACAAAACCCATTCATGACCACAAAATAACTCACATGAATTCTTCCAACTCCCTCCGGCTCCTCTGAAGAAAACATTGTTTTATGCACTCAGCTTTACCTGAAATGAGCACTGACTGATTGTCCCTATTGAGATTCGTTAACTACACGGCCAATAGCCAGTAACTTGATCGAAGTGTTAAGCTGTTTTAGTTAGTGTCTGATTAGTCCAATCGATCTTACGAACACAGGACTTTTTGTAGTTCATTTTTATTTTAGTATGGCTCTCACTCCCTGAGAAAAGAAAACTTCTCTTGTGCTTATGAAATCGAATGAGTAAATTCAACAATCCATGTTGAAGAAACTTGTAATGCTGTTTTACTCCAATCTAAGGATTTCGGTGATAAAAAATTTCTACATCGATAGATTCGACATCTCTGAATTAGTCAATTTTTTGTGGGGACTGGTTTTGTCATCTGCCCAGATTGCGTTGTCCCCGACGATTGATCTCATCTTTCGTTAAAAGTGTTAACCGTGTCACAGAGATGAACGTCCTCATCCATTGTCTGTGACAATCAAATTGTGTCCTCTATTATTTGAATTTGACAACAAAAACGCGTTCCGAATTCCTTGGCGTCCCCCCACAAAATTTGTTTGCTGTTCTATCGGTGGACCAACGATGTCGCTTTGTGCAGCGCTTTGTAATACGGTGAACAGGATGCTTCACTCCTGCCTTTTCCTCCTAGATCGATCTTGAGGCCGACTTTGATCGACTCGGTTCTACACGAAGCCGTTCTTTGTTGTGGTCATCTGTGTGCCTTACATCCAGACAATCAGAGCAGTTTGCAGCGAGGTCCATCTCCCACTCTGTTACAGCGCCTGGTCGCTTTGCCGTTCGACTATTTCAGTCAGAGACCGCTAACTGATGTCCTCTATCCAACTCTCATTGCATGCTGCTACTTGCATGCAAGTAATTTGGCTGTGTTGGAGGCGGAATTGAGCCCTACTTTGCTGGCAAACTATATTGAAGTGAGTCGTAGTATCCCGTTTGTACCTTAATTGATCATCTCAGCTCGTTTTTACTCGCCTTTGAAACTGGTACTGTGTTGTTTGGTTATTAGGAGCGCCTTTTGGAAAGGACAATGAACTCACTGACCGATAGTGACGGAAAGCAACTTACGACAGATGAACTCCTAGGTGAGTGGTTGTAAAAACATTTTCCGGTCTCCTACAAGGTGCATGTTTGGTAGTTGGAAAAACTAAAACTATGGCAATGGTGTTACTTACACTGAGGTACCAGCCAATCACTACAACCGATATTCTGTGCTTAGAATTACGCTCACTTGGCATGCCGCGATCATCTTATGAGGAGTGGCGGTGTGCTACTCCATTTTTAGCCTCAAGCTACCATCTGGAGTGATTGGCTATCCTGCTGCGGATTTTGACTCACTGTGATGCAAAGTGCGATTGTTGCAACGCGATATCGGCTTGATCGGTGTTGTATACCCTTGCCCTTCCTCCACAGACAAAGCCACTGAAGCACTGTTGCAAGCTGTGTATCACAGTCTGTCATTGAAGTTCACGCATATCCTCCTGATGACCGAATTCAACTACCCCAATCTGACCCCTCTACAACCGTTTCAGACGAAACTCTCTGTTTATTGAACCGCATACATTTCACAGTTTTCTGAAAGAATCGACGAGGTTGTGTTAGCAAACGAGGAATTGATGGTGGAAACGACAACCACATTAAGGCAGTGATCGTACCGCCTTGTTTTTTTAATTACATTTCCTATGCATCTTTACTGCATATTTCTACGACACTACGTTCACTGATTGCACAAAACTTAAGATTTTGGCGAAAGACTTCCATTGGCTTTACACTACTGGTATACTGGAAAGAAAGTATGAATCACCTCAGAGAAATGGTGAAAGGTCTGACCAAGATCAAACACCATACACCCAATTGGTCAAAAGTCCGCAGTCAAACGTGGAGGTGGACTTCCCAGTACCAACACGTAGTATACCTATTGTCTACTGCGAAGCCACTACATCCAGTAGANGAAGCCACTACATCCAGTAGATGCAACATAGGTTTCGTGAGAGGTAACTGTGTATCCCCAATTCGCCTCTGGTCCGGGAAGAGTGCAAAAAAGCAAGTGATCATGGTGATGCAGCGGAGATATCGTTCCTTGACTTCTCCACAAAATATTGTTGACGAAACTGCGTAGTTATGAAACTCAGGGACTCGTATTGGGGTTGATGGAAGAAGTGCTTCAACAACGCACCAATACATTCCGGGTCACCATCTGGTCCTGTCAGCGTAGCCGTAGGAATTCCACAAAGATCCGTGCTTAGCGCTTAACTTTTTCTAGTTACAAATGGACTAACGGACTATTGAGGGCCGTAACTGGTAATGTATGCAGAGGATCCACAAATACGGAAAACAGCGCATAACACGAGGAATCACTGGCACTTCAGATACCACTTGGTGCTGCTTGTCAATGGTCGTTCGAAAACCATATTGAATTCAGAGCACCGAGATGAACTGCCATACCCCTTTTGCCACAGAACTCGGTCCCCTTGCTTCCTAGGATATCAACGAATTCCTTGTGCCTCGAAAAAGAAGAATCTCCGCTTCAGCGTTTAAGCAACCGTTTGTAAGTATTGCTTATAAACTGTTGCAAAACTGCAGCAAATTCGCGCCGATTAGAGTATCCATTAGCTTTTCAACTAATGATTTGCACAAGCAGCACATTCCGAACTACCTTTTTGTATGGTTAGGTCCGTGGTCTTGTGGGGTTTGTCTCTGTTCACCATGCATTCAATGTAATAGCGTTGTTTATTTTTCTTTGAAGACTCTGTCGCATCTCGATTTCTCCATTTTTTTACGTTCCGAATAGATACCCGATTTCGTTTTGAGTATCGATTCCCGGTGAGCGAATGGAACGCCGCCAAGGCATACTTTGCTCAGTGATATAACCAACCTGCTCAATTATACTTGATGTTCCAGCTTTTCCGCCTTCCCTCCCACGTTCCCATCAACTTGTTACCATCACTCTACCAGAAAAGATGTACAGAATGTCATGTTGCACTGTGTGATACTCAGACCAATAAAATTCTTAGTAGTGCTCGGACAGGTGTTTTTCACTCTAATTTTCTTTGGAGAACTTAAAACAGCATTCGGTTTCAGGTATTGTTTGGAACGCTCATGGGACTGGGAACGAATTCCAATGAGAGCTTGTACCTTGAATGGTGAGAATACCCGGCTCATGATTCGAATGAGCATTGATCCGAGCCAGTTGATATGCTTGTTTTGTTCTCTAATTCCAACATCACAAGTCCTAAGATGCACGTACACAGTCGCGCTCTTGCATCTTCTCGCTATCCCTCCACAAATTCGTTTCGTTAGTTTTCCTCATCCACATTGAGAACCTTTTTAGAACGTTGATACTTTTCTACATTGGAAGCTGAGCACACTGCTGACGGCGGCGTTCTGCCCATCCGTATTGTTACGACTAGAGTAGTACCTTGATGTTTCAACGATGTCGTGGAACGCGAATCGTCGAAACAAAATGGAAATGGGGATGTTCGTTGTGCAACTGTTCAGTTATCTCTGGTGGCACTACATTCGATCTGTGCAAAAAGAATTTTGGATGTCTGAGATCACCCGGTTCATTCATCAGTAGTTGAGCATTGCTTATTACATCGAACAGGGCTGAAGCATTTGTCCAGCTCACATTTTATTTGTGATGTCTACATCACCTCGGTGTGGTATAGGCGCATCTCTTAGGTTTATTAAGTACGTATCATCTCAGGTTTTACAACCATTAACCGGGCACTTTCGTGCGCCGGNTTTTGGTACCCCATTTGGATAAAAGAGCAGAATGAAGATTGAAATGCTGAAAGCAAATTCAAACAGAAGATGGAGAATTCATATAGAATAGTGATAGGGGAATAATGAGTGGATGCACGAGCGACACCCAGCCATCATCCCGAGGTTCAAACCAGGGGGCCTATATGACTCAGTCTCCTGGTTAGGCTTTTCATACCGTCATGCCAGGTCTTAGCTGGACCATCCTTGACTTTCTTGCACCCACTACCAGCCTTGGCAAACATTGCTCGCCGTGGCAACCTATCTGGTGACATGCGCAACACATGCCCCAACCAACGTAATCTATGCAGGTCGATCACTTGTTCCAGTGGACGACCGTGAATGCCTAACCCCAGCATTGCTCATCCGGTTACCCGACCAGACTCGTGCAATGCGAGGTAGACAGCGGTGTTCGAACACCGATAATCTATCTTCATCCTGTTCCCGTAAAGGCCAAGTCTCTGCACCGTAGAGCGGGACTGACCGAACTGCTGCAGCATACACTCGACCCTTCACAGACAGCCGGATGTCGCGACAAATGTCAATCGAGCCTTTCGTTTGCGCGCCGATTTTTCATCTGCGATGCGTCCGCCAGGTGAGATACAGCTGCCCAGATAGCAAAATGTGCCCACTTCCTCTACTACCTCCACAGTTAGGGTGAGACTGGATGCTGGACCAACCCTATCTGGTAGTAGCATTTCACACTAGGACTCAAACTATCCAGAAAAGCTTGCAACTTACCTGGATCTTCACTTAGCAGCACAATGTCGTCTGTATACTCTAGATCAGACAGCCTGCCACCTGGAAGTAAATCAATACCGCTATCCTCGCACGAGGTTAGGGCTCTTCCAAGAATTGAATCTATCACGAATTTNAGAGAGGGCAACCCTGTCGAACACCACTTTCCGTGGGGAACTCGGGTGAAAAATTGCCGTAAGGTCGGACTCAGCTTCGGCTATTAGTATAAAGCGATTAACTTCTCGGGCTTCAGGGAAAGGCAACGTCAGAGTTTAGAGCAGTTGACTGAGTCGAAAGCCGCTTTTAGATGGAGAAAAACAGAAATGGGAGGTCTACGACAGGAGTGTCTATGTTCCAGAATTTGACGAAGTGCGAAAATGTGGTCAATACAACCTCGACCAGATCTGAAACCAGCCTGGTTCTCATGCGTGCACCGTTCACGAGCGGCAGACGATCGACGGAGTACGATACCAGCGAGAAGCTTAGAGACCATGTTGATTAAACTAATTCCTCTGTGGTTATCACTGGAGGACCTGTAACCTTTCTTGTAAATCGGTACGATTACCGATTCGCACCATTCAGTTGGAACCTCTCCCGCGCTGAACCCAGGAGTTTTGTTAACCTCAAAACCAAGGCTGGACCTCCATCTTTGAAAACGGTTGGGGACAGCTTGTCAGGGCCGGAAGCCTTATGCCGTTNGAGGTAACTTATTTCCCGGGTAACCTCCATTTCAGATGGAGGACTGATGTTAACTGGCAATATTTGCACAAATGAACCGTATGGGGGGAGGTCTTGTGTCGAAGGAGACCTGCTGAACGTTTCTTTAAAATGTTCTGCCTAACGTTCAAGACGACGTTCCTGAATTTGAATCAATGTATCGTCAGCCTCCTTGAGTACCTCACCTACGCCTGCTTTCCTTGGTCCAGTACTCCTAATTAAACGGTAAATATTGCGACTATTACCGATAGCCGCAGCTTTCTCCATCTCTTTACACCTTCCGGTCCATCATTTCTCGCGGGCATACGAACCGCCGAGAAATCTCTCTGGTTCGTCCACTAGAGCATTGAAGTTTCCAGTGA